GGTCTCCCCAGAAACCTTTGGCAGAGGATTGCAGAGTACCTCCATGAAAGTGTCATTGAGTCTCTAGAGAGGATTCACAGGCCATCCCGGTGCATGTAAACAAACTGCTCCACATGGCCCCCTCTGCATAACTTCAAAGAGGAATGACAAGCAGATTAGCAACTCTACCTCTCTTGGTTGTACCACTACCTCTTCTAGCACAAGTGAAAGAGTAATTCAACAGATATGTTCTGCTACTTTGGGGGCTCTACCCTTGTAATTTCAAAGCAAACTGCACATTTACCAGAGGCTCCTTCACCTGCATCAGGCTCACCTGTTGGGACTGGCTGGAGTGCACTGGAGTCAAACACAGATCCTGGCTCACTGCACAGCTGGATCCCCCGGTCACCTGTCCCCCATACTCCTCCGCCTCTTCCTTGTCCACCCCCTCCTCTTCGCTGTTCATGATGAGGGCTTGTGGCTCCTCCAAAGTATCCATGGGGCTCTTGCGGGTGGTGGTGGGGTCTTCTCCAAGGTTTGCATGCAGCCCTGCAGTTCAGCACTAGATGGATTGTTGGTCTCCTTAGCCTTCTGGTACCCCCGCTGCAGCTCCTTGGCTTTCACACAGCACTGCTGCTGGTCCCTCTTGTAGCCCTTCTCCCGCATGCCCTGAGCCATTTGCTCACAGAGGTCAACATTTCTATGGCTGGATTGGAGCTGTGCCTGCACAGCCTCTTCTCCCCACAGCCCCAGGAGATCCAACACCTCCTGTGTACTCCAGGCAGGAACATGTCTGGAGCATGTAGCTGGCATGGTCAGCTGGGCAGTTACACACAACAGTGGAGAGCTGCTTGGCATGCTCACCAAGCCAGGCAACCAGGAAAAGGAACTTAAAGAAATTGCAAGGCTTTAGAGGGGAGGGACAGCTTCCTGTCCACCTGGCCCCTGGGCAGCAGAGTACACACTGGTGACCAGAGCTGTCAGTGTGGGACATCACCTGGAGGCCAGCAACAGTCTCAACACTGACCCTCTGTCAACCTAACTACATCGACCTTGACTCTAGATCACTCAGGGAAGTGGTGTCATTAAAATCGGTGTAGTGGAGCAGTTTCACCAGCAAGAGTGAAATTTAAGCATAGACACTTCCACAGCTAGGTCGATGTAAGCTGCCTTGCATTGACCTAACCGTGTAGTGTAGACCAGACCCAAGTTAAACAGAAATTAAAAGGAACACAGTCACAAAGGTGAAATGCTGCAAGCTGTATGGCTACTTTTAAAAACTATGATAACTGAGGCTCAAACTAAAGGTATTCCCCAAATAAAAACAGTGAGGACCAAAAAAATGTCACCACTGCTAAACAGAGTATAAGAGATGGTCAGAGACAAAAAGTTGTCTTTTAAAAATTGGAAGTCAAATCCTACTGAGGAAAATAAAAAGAAGCATAAACTCTGGAAAATCAAGTGTAAACATAAATAAGGCAAGCTAAAAAAGAATTTGAAGAGCAACTAGCAAAAGACAACACTTTTTTTTGCTGTTAGTTTAAGTACATCAGAAGCGGGAAGCCTGATGAACAATCAATGGGGCCACTGGACAGTCAAGATGTTAAAGGAGCACTCATGGAAGATCAGGCCATTGTGGAGAAGCTAAATGAATTCTTTGAATTGGTCTTCACTGCAGAGAATGGAGGGAGATTCCCACACCTAAGTCATTCTTTTCAGGTGACAAAGTTGAGAAAAACTGTCCCAGATTGAAGTGTCAGTAGAGGAGATTTTGGAAGAAAGTGATAAACAGTAATAACTCACTAGGACTGGATGGAATTCACCCCAAGGGTCTGAGGGAACTTGTACGAAACTGCAGAACTACTAACTGTTGTATGCAACCTATTGCTTAAATCAGCTTCTGTACCAGCTGCCTGGCAGATAACTAATGTAACTCCTATGTTTTTAAAAAGGCTCCAGAGACAATCCTGGCACTTACAGGTCGGTAGGCCTAACTTCAATACTAGGCAAACTGGTTGAAACTATAGTAAAGAACAGAATTATCAGACACGTAGATGAATGCTATATGTTGCGGAAGAGTCAACACGACTTTTGTAAAAGGAAATCATGCCGCACCAATCTATTAGAATTCTTTGAGGGTATCAACATGCACCTGGACAAGGATGTTCCAGTAGACATAGTGTACATGGACTTTCAGAAAGCCTTGAACAAGGTCCCTCACCAAAGGCTTTTAAGCAAAGTAAGCAGTCATGGGATAAGAGGGAAAGTCCTCTCATGGATCAGTAACCGGTTAAAAGATAGGAAACAAAAAGATAGGAATAAATAGTCCGTTTTCACAGTGGAGAGAGGTAAATAGTGGGGTTCCGGAGGGATCTTTGAGACTAGTGCTGTTCAGTATTCATAAATGATCTGCGAAAAAGGGTAAACAGTGAGGTGATAAAGTTTCCAGATGATACAAAATTATTCAATATAGTTATGTCCAAAGCAAACTTCAAAAAGTTACCATGAGATCTCAAACTGGATGACTGGGCATCAAAACAGATGAAATTTAATGTTGGTAAATGCAAAGAAATGCACATTGGAAAATACAATTCCAACTTTATACACCCAAAATGATGGGGTCTAAATTACCTGTTATCACTCAAGAAAGATCTTGGAGTCATAGGATAGTTCTCTGAAAACATCTGCTCAATATGCAGCGGCAGCAGTAACAACAACAAAAAAACACCAAGGTTAGTAACCATTAGTAAAGGAATAGAAAATAAGACAGTAAACATCATGCCACTACATAAATCCATGGTACATCAATACCTTGAATACTGCAGGCAATTCTGGTCGCCCTATCTCAAAAAAGATGTATTAGAATTAGAAAAGGTACAGAGAAGGCCAACAAAAATGACTAGGGGTATGGAATAGCTTCCATGCAAGGAGATATTAAAAAGACTGGGACTGTTCAGTTTAGAAAAGAGATGACTAAGGGGAGAAATAGGATAGAGGCCTATAAAAATCACAAATGGTGTGAAGAAAAAGTTATTTACCCCTTTGTATAACACAAGAACCTGAGGTCATCTGATGAAATTAATAGCAGGTTTAAAACAAACATAAGGAAGTACTTCTTCACATAATGCTGTGGAACCCATTGCCAGGGGATGTCATGAAGGCCAAAAGCATAACTAGGTTTAAAAACAAAACAAAACAAAAAAACCACGCATTAGATAAGGGTCATGGAGGACAGGCCCATCAGTGGCTATTAGCCAAGTTTGTCAGGGATGCAACTCTATGCTCTGCGTGTCGCTAGCTTCTGACTGCAATATTGGGACTGGGTGCCTGGGGATGGATCACTCGATAACTGCCCTATTCTGTTCATTTCTTCTGGGGCACCTGGCACTGGTCACTACCAGAAGACAGGATGCTGGGCTAGATGGACTGTTGGTCTGACCCAGTTTGGCCGTTCTTATGAGATAAGTGGGGGAACACTTCATTTAAGGATCCAGATGGGTGTGTGTTAGCCGGGGGAAGCTGAGTGCAGTTTTGAGGATCTAGATTTTGGACTTTGGCACCTAAAGTGGCAGTTAGGTGCCTAAATGCCCTGGTGAGTCTGGCCCTAGATGTTTGGGGCCTGCTGTTTATACTGTATGCCCTGGCTTTACAAAGAGTGCTGCACTCACCACAGCGCCCAGACTTTGAGAAACCAGCCCCACAGCAGTGACCTCAGAATCCAACAGGCCCTAGCCTTAAGGGAATTTCAGCATGCTTAGTTCTTCCAGAAAACATTTTAAACTGGGAAAGACACTGCAAGGTAGGATGACAGCACATCCCGTGCCAGGGGATACAGATACGCCGCCACTGCAGGGCATCTGAGTGCAGCAGGAATGCCAAGCAAAGGCCACAAACAAGTGAACTTTATGCTCTGGATGTTTCCCTGACCATACTGATCATCTCTCATCGCCAGTTGCCATTACCAGCAAGTTTCCAACCAATGGCAAAGAAGAGTGGTTAGCAGCAACTTCCGGCTCACTGGGCAAAGCAAACTTGGTCTTAGGCCAGTGCCTTACAGCCAGCCACTTTGCTAAACCGCTTGGCTGAGGCTTCCTGGAATGGGCTTGGACACTGACCTACCCTCCCCAGGTGAGAGAGGGTTCCCTTAGCTCCGAGGGGGAAGTATAGGGGCCGCTCACTGCCAGACACCTTTGCAAGCACAAAATTCGCTTCATTTAACAAACTTGCTCTGTAAAGTTTCACCACCATTTATTTGAGACGCAGTAATTTACATGTAAACAGATGCCTGGGTGATAAGGCACTTCGTGTGAGACCAGGCAAGGACACAAATCACCACTCAGCTGGGCTCCAGCAGCCAGGCATTTCTGGGCAGTGTTTCCTTCAATCTTCTTGCGTAAGGAGCAGCTGATTCACAATGCGCCCCAGGCAGTATCTGCCACAGGCACAGATGCAGCCTCTCTACAGAGAAGTCCATTCCTCAGTATGAAACCTTGTCAGCAGGACACAGCTCCCGAAAAGCTAGACACGGACAGAAAGATTTGCTATTTCCCCAAACACATGGATGGCACAAGTGATGCTGAGACCGATTCCCTGGAGATACTGCTGCTGGGTTGCCTCTGTTCAAAAATAGGCAGGTAAAAGGCACAGGGCTTGGCTGTGCAGTGACCAGGTTTAGTGCTGGTTTCCTGCATTTAGAAACTATACTCCAATAAACCCAGGAGCACTGGCTCTGGGCCAGACAGGCTGGATAACCAAGTGAGGCTACTTCTGGAGCTGTGTATCCATTTTCTCAAGCAGGCAGTCTCTTTCCATGCATGGAATTGCACACATGGCCTGGGGCATTATGGAAGCAGCAGGAGGTTTTGTATTTTCTGCTGAAATACTGGGGATTTATTGGCCACTGCTGGAGGCAGGCTACAGGGGATGAGGATGTAATGGGCTGCCCTGGGACGGGAAGTACAGCTATTCCTATTCCTTAGGAAGCACTAAAAGAATGACATTGAAGAATACGGCATTTTGGGGGGGGGGGGGGGGGGAGAATTCTAAGGTGGGAAACATGCAGCCACCGAAGTGAGCTGCAGAGCAACAAGCAATCACAGAAAGGATCTGGGTAGGGTGGGGCTGAGGTGTGCCTGGAAGTAATCTGTGCCAGAAGGAAAGAAGCAGGCCAGCTATGGCTGCAGCAAGGGTACTTGTGCTCTCCTGAATCCAGCACAACAGGAACCACAACCCTTGTGAATTGTGTGAACCAAGCAAGGGGAATTCTGGCCTGCGCTCCAGCACAATAATGGATCCTCCCCAATAAACCCCCGGGCACAATCACCCTGGCGGGAGGCCTGTTAACCCTCGAGCCTGTAGCATTAGCTCAGCTCTAGTGAAAGCCTCACTGCACAGCACACGGAGACGGGGGAGGAAGGAGGCGGTGACATGCTGTAGCCTTGCAGGAGGCCTTGTCTGAACAGACCTGAATTCCGTGTGCCAGGGCGAGCAGCGCTGCTTTCGCTGGGCAGGCGGGCACACAGGTGGATCACTTATCACAGCCAGCCCAGTTCTCACCCTGCACTACTCTCTACCACCACCGCCGCCATCTTAAACCAACTGCCATATGAATGGCAGTCACCTAGCAGTGCCTGCCAGCACTTCAGAGAGCCCAAGGGCACTGGACACACTTGGCAAACCTCTGTGGAGGCCAGGAGCTCCAGCATGGCACTAAATGTGGCACCACTTCACCAGGGTCAGAAAATGGACCCACAGATTTTTCCAAAGCCCATTGGCAGCTCCCCCGTGACCCAGACATTCACATTTATACAAGCACCATTTAAAATGAGACCATCACGTCTCCTCCTAGACTTAAAAAGATTTAAGAACTGCAGTTGTCCTCTGCCCTGGCTTGTGCAGAGAAGAGGCAGTGCAGGCATAAAGTTAAAACACCATTTGGTTGCTGACGATTGCACCATCCCCATAATTAAACAATCAGACATTCTGAACAGCTGCTGCACCCAGTCCATCACGTGCTCTTTCTGCCGTTGAGCAGGCAAACACTCTGGTCCTTTTCATCCAATTTCAGGTGTGTCTGGCTGAATTGCTTAATCAGGGTCCCCGGTATCAATGCCACCATGGCTGTGGCCAGTAGCTTAAGCAACGTGCCCCAGGAGAAAATGGCATCCAGGGAGGTGATCTGCGAGAGGATGGCACCCGTCTGCACACAAATGAAGTTATAAGGGATCAGACCTGGAAGAGTCAGAGGGAGAAGCCTATTACTAGACAACCATCCCTAGTGCCCTGGTGTGTCTTCAGGATGGCTCCGGCTAGATACCCACAGATCCGTACTGCTCAGAGATGGCATGCAGGGTACAGTGTAACACACTGGTCAAAGGTCACATCTTCTCTGCAGCCAAGTGAGCTGACAAAGCTGAGAGCTGCAAATGGTGGAATACAGCTCAGTGCCCCTGGAAGGGTCACTTTCGTTTGCTAGCGCTACAGGGGACTAACCATTGTGAAGAAGGAGACAGGGACATAAGCAATGCCCCCTCTCTGCCCCTCCATCCTGGGGAAGCCTTTCTGGACAGGCTGGGCCCAGCCTCATCTAACACAGCTGGGGTCCTGTCACCGAGAATGCTCCACTCCCAGCTCCTGACACAGTCAAGTGGCCAACCTGGCTGCAGCAGTGCAGTGGGCAATCTGCATCATATATGCTGTACAGCGCCTGGTGAGAGGACAGCACACATGGGGCTGGGGCCAGGGGTGAGTTTCTGCAGGGCCATTGTGTGGGTTTGTGCGAACAGAGGAGATTGTAGAAAACACTCGGGTTGGACAGTTGAGCCACAATGCCATCTCCTGGCACTCATTAAAAACCAATGGGCATCGCGACACCCGACGACAGCGGAGTTCTCTCCAGGAACAGCCATTTCACCCTGGGAAGAGGTAACAGTGTAAGGGCACAGACAGTAGCGAATCAGGAAACTAACACAGCCAAGTGACTGTTGCTGTGGGACCCTTAACGCTGGAATTCCTCAAGTGTAGCATGGTACGTTCTCAGGTTTGCTGGGTTCCAACAGCAGCAAAGAGTAGGTTGGGTTTGATCCCTTCCTGAACACAGAGCCTGCTTGCCCCCAGCCCCAGCTCCTTACCGATAAGGACGGAGAAGAAGAACTGAGAAACCGGGATGTTCACGATCGGAGACGCCAGGTTCAGAAACCAGTTTGGGGTCATGGGGAAAAGTCTCAGAAACAACAAGAAGAAAAATAAGCAGCTCCTGTTCTCCTCCACCTGCCATCCAACAAGAGAAACCAGGTCAGCACTGCCACTGCCCGTTACTGGCCAACTACTGCAGAGCAGACACCCTCAGTCTGACACTAGCAGAGGGTCAGGGCTTCATTTCAATAAGCCACAATGTAACATCAGCCCAGAAACAAAGCAAACCAGAGTAGCTTAGTACCAGGGTACCCACATGCACCAGGATCAGCTTTGCCTGTGCAACAGCTGCACCCAGTGAAAGTACATGCTAACCTGGGGTGTGAAAGACCAGTGGAAAAGGGGGCCCATCACTGACGGACAGACATGATCTAAACAAACACTTACACAAAGGGCAGCTGCATTCCCTGCATCTTACCCTGCTTTCCAGCAGCGCCATTCCACTAGTGAAAACAGGCTCCCAAGGTCACTATAATGGGTAGTCCTTAAAATTAAAAAGGCAGCCGGGTCACAGTGTGGAAGGGAAGGGTGAACATGCAACCTTAGCCCTGTCCCTTGAGCACCTCCTTAACAGTGTAAGGGCACCTTTTGCTGTGTCCAGGCAGCAGCACTGGGAGAAAGCAGTAGGATGTGATCAGCCAGACATTCTCCACACCCTCGGGGCTTGCTCCTGCCAACACTTACCTGACTGACTCCACTCCTGCTAGGAAACACTCTGCCTGACAGCAGTGTTTTCAGGCTTGGGCCCTTAGTAACACGGCTGTCTGGAGTGTTCCCAGTGCTGTACATGGTCACTGATCAATTCTAACAGCACAATACAGCCTAAGGGAGGCTTTGCACTTAGTGGCCAGACTTTGGAGGGGTTAAAAAGGACAAAAAAGGCCACAGCAAGCCCCTCCTTCCTGTACCAGATACTTGCTGCCCCATGCCCCTTGGAGCCTATCAACCCCCTTAGCACAATAGGCACTTGTCAGCTTGGCCAGCCACTACCCCATGCTCCGCTGACTCTTGGTGCTGCAGGCTAAGGAGGCACTGCCATTCCTGTGCAGACCCCTCAGGGCACAGTTCAAAGTAGTGGCGCCTCATGGTCTCAGACACCATCCGATGGTCCAGGGACATCTACATCGAGCACATCACCGGCCACTGACAGTACCAGGAGGCGTGAGCCAGAGTGACATCGTTCTCCCACTACGAGAAAGGGACCAAGTGACCTTCTCCGTTGGCTCATATGAACTGGAACCATAAACTCCCTGAACATTAAATCTCAACAAATGAGGGTTAATCCATCCTCATCATCATATCCACTCATTATACCCCACACCCAAACATAGCCACTCTATGAACTTCATACCCCCATATCTCAATGCCTGTACTTTGACCCATCAACCTTTTACCTCCAATCGGGGATATTGCAGATTATGTATTCCTTATGCCACCTGATCTTAAACCAAACTTTGCACCCTCGATAATTTATACGTTATTCCCTGATAACCAGAAACTTCTATGCTCAAACTCGGTTCACTTTTTTTTTTTTATCATCATCTTAATAAAATTTTTAAATCAGTCTCTCACCCTCCGGCCGGCATTCAGCCTCCTAGCTGCATTCTCCACAATATTATTCTGCAGTTAAAACCCGTCTAAAGCTCCTGTGCAGCAAACCTACAGCCTTTGCTCTATTTAACAGACACAAGGCTAAGAGGGTTGGCTTAAAGCAGCTTCCAGCCCTTGTAATGCCTTAGATCATTTTAAGGATTTGTATCAATTTAAACGGCAAAACAAGAGCAGCCTCCCCATATGCTCACAGAGAGTCCTAGCGGGGATGGCAGGTGGGCTGGACAGCAGGCATGGACAGGTGGGGCACCAAGTCAGGTGGTCCCTGGGCCAGAGCTGATTTTTAAATGTGAATACCGGAACTGAATCTATGCCAAGTTTCTGTTTGCAGAATTCAGAGACTATTGCTTGAGAGCTCAGAGTATCCCACCCTTCCTAAGTGTCCACTGCATTTTATTCTTGTCAGCTGTACTGGTCAAGCAGGGTTACGGCACAACGAACTAGTATCTTCCTGGGCAGCAAAGTTACTTACCAAGTTCCAGCTAGTTACACCTGCCGTCAAAGAGGTTGCTAAGGCATCTCTGAAGGCCCAATTTGGCCTGCTGGGGACGATGCATGAGAAAGCAGAGCCCAGCTCAACTCTCAGAACCCAGGGTGCGTTTACATTTGAAAGGAGCAGAGAGAGACTGACACACAAACACGGAACCCCCTGGGGCCACTCTTCCAATTCCTTTTCAAAGCAAACTGGGCTGACGCTAGAGGGCACTAGCGTACAGGAGTACCTACTCCATTATCCAAGGGATAACTGCTGTGGTTAGTTCTCACTCTGAAAAGCCCATGCTGCTTACTTTCTGGGTCCACTGGACTGATTCCAAAGCCAGAAGGACAATAACGGCCATGGTGGTAGGACACAGGGAACTAAAGAACCACAAATGCAGGCCCTGGGCTAAGAAGGGGCTGTAGAATCACAGCTCAGCTCTGCTCCAGTCAGCCCGGGGGTTTGTCCCAGCAGCAGGGATCTCTTTACCTTTCTTTGCAGCATGGCCACTTTATCAGGAAACCAGTAGACTACCAACTGTTTCCCAAAGGCCCTGGAGAGCAGGTAACAGCAGGTGGCACCCACAGAAGTCAAAGCAGAGCACAACAAGAGCCCCATCCATGGTCCAAACAGAGCCCCAGCGAGGATGTTCTGGTAGAACAAAAGCAGGGTGTGAGACCTTATGAATAAGAGACTGGACAAACGCGTTCAGCAATGTGCACACAATCACAGCCAGCCCAACCCTCCTCTGGCCACATGGGTGGCTTGATGGGGACCCAGCCATCCCCTTTGCTCCCACAAGGACACAGCTTCGCTGCCTGTCCTGGACTTTCTATATTAAAGCTCCAGAGAGAGGATCTCCCATCCAGACAAGGCAGAGAGTTTGGGGACAGTGTCAATCATTCCAAAGAGAGAAGCTCTGTCACCTTCGCGCAAGATGGCAGGCACATTTGGGGCAGGGAACCACCTAGCTCAGTTGTGGCTTCCGAGTGCCACCATAACACAAACGGTTAAAACCCATGGCTCATTCTAGAAGCTACACCAGTGCAGGAGAGCAGTGTCTGAACTGACCACTGCAGTCTCAGTCCTTGAGTCAGGGAGCTCAGTTGCCTTACGGAGGAGACTCACTCGGTTCCTCCCTTGGTCCCTGAATTCCAGGGCTGGAAAGGCACCTGGCTCAGGTGACCTAAAGCATTTGCACAGTGCAGCCAGCATCTTAGCAGAGGTTGTCTCATGGATGCCTCCCTTCCCATTTGTGATCAGACAATAGGCCAAGGCCAACTACCACCTCTGCTGACATGGAATGGTAGGAGCATGGGAATATTAAGAACTTATCTAAAGCTATTCCAAGTGGCAGAAACCAGGGTGAACCAGAACCATGTACATCAGTAAAGTGCTTGAGCACCGCACAACAGTCTGATTGAAAAACAGCTCTACCCAAACTCAACCAGGCGCACAGTAAGTGGATTACTAACAGATCGCCAAGTGTAATCATTGGGTGGGATCCTACAGAAACTGGACCTCAGCCCAAGACTGTTCAATATTAATATTTTTATCAACAATTTAGAGATGAATATAGAGTCACTGTAGATATTGTATATGGAAAAACTGGTTGTTTAGTAAATAATGAGGAGGGTGGGGTGTCATACAGAGCCAACAGGATCGCTTGGTAAATTGGGCACGATCAGAAACTATATGTTTGAATATGGCCAAATGTAAGGTCACATCTATAAACAAAGAATGTCAGTCACATGGCACGTGGGACCGTAGCCTGAAAGCAGTGACTCTGAATAGGACTTAAGAGGTCATTAAACTCAGCATGAGCTTCCAGTGCGAGGCTTTGCCCCTTGGAGGTATAACTGGGGGAATAGAAAGGAGCAGGGATGAGCTTCTCCCCATAGCGTTGTCATTAAACCTTGATGGTTCGCCCCCCCTAGTGTTTTGTATCTACCTCTGGCTAGTAGGTCTAGTCCCCAGGCTAGGGGTGTACAATATATTTCTCAAACTCCCAGATAGGAGTTATGTTCACCTGGAAGCAAGGTGATAGGCCAGGACAGGGGGTTAAATGGTGACCCCAATAAACGAGAGAGCCCAGTGAATGATCTAAGACCCCATGGCAAATCCCAGCTTTGGAAAGCCTGGTGAAGGAGAAGGAACAGAGTGCTAGAGAGCTGAGCGGGTGCATACCAGAAAGCTGGAGCCGGGGATGGCGAAGGACTGCTTGTAGAGGTAGGCAGCACAGAACAGCAGCAGCACATAGCTCTGGTGCTCTTGCTTATAGTACTGTAGAAACTCTGCAAGCTCTCGCAGCTCCTCCAAGTCTGATGGGAACTTGAGTGACCTGAGAAGGAAGAGGGAGACCCAACTAAAATGATAAATCCTTGACACGCCAAGCACCTCTCAGACATATTCTACACACATTAACAAACTGACAGCCAAGGTCAAATATCTTCACTAGATTTTACAAATGGGGAAACTGAGGCAGGTTAAGTTACTTCAGGTCAGAGGAACTCCGTGGCAAACTGTCTAGTGACCTAAGTTCCCTCTAAGCTGCGTGGCCACACAGCAGGCTATAAAGATCCATGCAGGCGTGCAGCCACAGGGGCCTGGAGAAGTGAGAGGCAAGTTGGGACATGCAGGGCTGCTGGCAGGGAGAGGAGCGTCTCCCCCAGCCCCAGCTCTGGGGCTGCTGTGGTGAGATAGGGGTGGGGGGGGGAGGGAAAAAAGAGTCCTCTCTCCCCACTGCAGCCCCAGGGCAGCCTGCACCCCAAACCCCTCATCCCTGGCCCCACCCCAGAGCCACACCCCCAGCTGGAGCCCTCACCCCCGCACCCCCAGCCGGAGCCCTCACCCCCGCACCCACCATCTGCCCCAGCCCTGAGCCCCCTCCCGCACCCCAAATCCCTCATCGCCAGCCCCACCCCAGAGCCTGCACCCCAACCCTGATCCCCCTCCCACTCTCTGAACCCTTTGGCCCCACCCCCACCACAAACACCTCCATATTGGTGCACATAAAATTAATTCCACACATGAATATAAAAAATTAGAGGGAACATTGCTAGTGACTCAATGACATTCTCATCTGAACTCTAGAGTTCCTAGGAAATCGACCAGCAGGCTTTACACCAACATAGGCCTTTTCTAAATGTGAACAGCAATGCTATATTGCAGAGCAAGCTCTTGCTTTACCTATGCAGTGCACTCACTCGGCTTGACAAACATTCCCATGACCGACCTTTGGTATTGCTTAGCGGACCCAACCAGCCTGCATAGAACAAGCTGAAACAGTCAGAACAAGAGAGCTTTCCCTACCTGGTCTTCAGCAAACTGAAGATTAACAGTACTGTTTGCATCCAACCTGGAGCATCCATCTCCTACCCTGAAGCAAGATTGAAAACAGAATCCAGGGCATCGCTAGATGGGATTGGAGCCAGTGCACAGATCACCATGCTGCGTGCAAGCAGCCGACATTCCTCACAGAGGAGGTGTTGGAGGCACCAGTGCCAGGATCTCTTGGTCACCATGGCACTGACTATCCCAGGTTGCTGCTGGCCCGACTCATACCGCTGGCTGCACTCTGGATCCGGTGTTTGGGCTGAGTATGGAGGTATGACAACTGGAGATTTTACCCATGGCAGGGACCGACTGTTGCCTCCCGCAATTTGAGGTTGGGGCTAGGCACTTTGATGGCCCTTCCTCAGAGATTAATTGGGCCTGGTCATTTCTTGAGGAAGAATATCGTTCACACCATTCTGCTGGTTGAATAGTATTGTATGATGATCTTTTACCTTCCACTACTGGTTAAGTGCGGTGTGCATCTTCCTTATTGGTTTCCACCTCACAGGTCATCATGGTTTACATTTCTCCTCTGGCAACTGATGGAGAAAGCTCAAGTCGCAGAAATATCACACTGAATTGGACAAATTGCTTCATAACATATCTTGAAATCTCATGCTGTGGGTGTGCAAAGTTTCTTTGCTTCCACTACTGTATCCACTAAGGGTATGTCTACACTACCCACCGGATCGGCAGGCAGCGATCGATCCAGCGGGGATCGATTTATCGCGTCTAGTCTAGACGCAATAAATCCACTCCCGAGTGCTCTCCCGTCGACTCCTGTACTCCACCGCCGCAAGAGGCGCAGGCAGAGTCGATGAGGGAGTGGCAGCAGTCGACCCACCACGGTGAAGACACTGCAGTGAGTAGGTCTAAGTACATCGACTTCAGCTACGTTATTCACGTAGCTGAAGGTGTGTAACTTAGATCGATCCCCCCCCCCAGTGTAGACCAGGCCTAAGTCTCAATCAGATGATTTATGCTGATGAATGAATGAATAGGAAACAGCTGTTATTCAGTAAGCAACAAAACTCCAACACACCAAGCAGATTCCGACGGAACCACCTGCTTCTGTGGCTGCAGAGTGATTTCTGGAGAGTTCAAACACTGAATTGTCTCAGTTGGACGTTATAGATTCAGACTTTAAGGTCAGAAGCAGGGCTTTGGAGCGGAGCCTGGAGCTGGAGCACAGACCAGTAGATTTTTGCCCGGAGCAATTCAAAAATTTGATTGCTCCAAATCCCTGGTCAGACAGGACCATTATGATCTTCTAGTCTGACCTCCTGCACAAAGCAGGCCACATAATCTCACCCACTCACTCCTGTAACAAACCCTGATCTATGTCTGAGATACTAAAGTCCTCAACTTGTGGTTTAAAGACTTCAAGGTGCAGAGAATCCTCCAGCAAGTGACACGTGCCCCACGCTGCAGAGGGCCTCTGCCAATCAGCCCTGGAGGAAAATTCCTTCCCGACCCCAAATATGGCAATCAGCTAAACCCTGAGCATGTGGGCGAGACTCACCAGCCAGACACCAAGAAAGAATTCTCTGTAATAACTCAGATCCCACCCTATCTAGTGTCCCATCACAGGCCATTGGGCATATTTATCAATAGTCGTCAAAGATAACCTAATTTTGGCAATTAATTGATCCCATCATACCATCCCCTCCATAAACTTATCAAGCTTAGTCTTGAAGCTAGATATGTCATCCCAAGACCGCATTAGCTTTTTTCACAGCCATATCACATTGGTGGCTCATAGTCATCCTGCGATCAACCAATACTCGGAGGTCCTTCTCCTCCTCTGTTGCTTCCAAGTGATGCGTCCCCAGCTTATAACAAAAATTCTTGTTATTAATCCCTAAATGCATGACCTTGCACTTTTCACTATTAAATTTCATCCTATTACTATTACACCAGTTTACAAGGTCATCCAGATCTTCCTGTAGGATATCCCGGTCCCTCTCCGTATTGGCAATACCTCCCAGTTTCGTGTCATCCGCAAACTTTATTAGCACATTCCCACTTTTTGTGCCAAGGTCAGTAATAAAAAGATTAAATAAGATTGGTCCCAAAACCGATCCCTGAGGAACTCCACTAGTAACCTCCTTCCAGCCTGACAGTTCACCTTTCAGTATGACCCGTTGTAGTCTCCCCTTTAACCAATTCCTTATCCACCTTTCAGTTTTCATATTGATCCCTATCTTTTCCAATTTAGCTAATAAATCCCCATGTGGAACCATATCAAATGCCTTACTGAAATCAAGGTAAATTAGATCCACTGCGTTTCCTTTGTCTAAAAAAATCTGTTACCTTCTCAAAGGAGGAGATCAGGTTGGTTTGGCACGATCTACCTTTTGTAAAACCATGTTGTATTTTGTCCCAATTAACATTGACCTCAATGTCCTTAACTACTTTCTCCTTCAAAAATTTTTTCCAAGACCTTGCATACTACAGATGTCAAACTAACAGGCCTGTAGTTACCTGGATCACTTTTTTTTCCCTTTCTTAAAAATAGGAACGATGTTAGCAATTCTCCAGTCATACAGTACAACCCCTGAGTTTACAGATTCATTAAAAATTCTTGCTAATGGGCTTGCAATTTCATGTACCAGGTCCTTTAATATTCTTGGATGAAGATTATCTGGGCCCCCCAATTTAGTCCCATTAAGCTATTCGAGTTTGGCTTCTACCTCAGATGTTGTAATATCTACCTCCATAGCCTCATTCCCATTTGTCATCCTACCATTATCCCAAAGCTCCTCATTAGCCTCATTAAAGACTGAGGCAAAGGATTTGTTTAGATATTGGGCCATGTCTAAATTATCCTTAACCTCCACTCCGTCCTCAGTGTTTAGTGGTCCCACTTCTTCTTTCTTTGTTTTCTTCTTATTGTAACCCTTCTGCCCATCTAGTTGGCAGCAACAAGGGCCGGGTTCTGTATCTAGGGGTTCCGTTTCAATAACACAATGCAAAACCGGCTCGAGCCCCCACCCAGTGACCTGGGACAATTACATACCACCCCCCTGGGTACCTCTAAGAGGCAATACTTCCCCTCTCACAAGCACGGAGTCCGAGTGTAGCAGAAAATGTTTAATAACATGAGGTAAACGACATCAGCATAAAATTGGAAAAACACCACAAACAGGATTCATAACACAAACCATGAGCAAAACCCACCCCAGCAAATTGGGCTGTGTCCTTTCCCTTTGGTTGTTGAATCCAGCAACCCAAAAATCACCCAGAGTCCCCAAAGTCCAACACCCCCAAAGTCTCTTGGGTCCAGCAACCACCCAAAGTCCCAAAAGTCCAACAACCCCCAAAGTCTCTGTCCCTGGTCAGTGCAGCCCCAGAGTAAAAGGGGGGGGGCACGCAGGGTGTTAAGGGGCACCTTACGTGATCCGAGGCTGGCCAGCCGTCTGTTTCTCCGTGGGGGTTCCGCCGCAGCCTTTACCACGAGCCAGTCCACTTTCCTGCCATCCCACGAACTGCTCCGCTCTACAAGCTGCTCCGCTCCACTCACCGACCTGTGAGCCGTTCCAGCCGTCCCCGCAAACAGCTCCGCTCGCCGTTCCTTAGGCCACTCCAACCGGCCCCGCAAGGCTCCACGCCGCTCGCTGCTCCTCCAGTCGTCCCCACAAATTGCTCCGCCAGCTGCTGAGCAATATAGCTTCAGGCTCCCCCACTAGTTAGCACAGCACTCAGTGATTTCAGCTCTTAATAACATCAGCTCTTTTGTGATTTCAGCTCTTAATAACATCAGCTCATAGTATAGTAGGGGAGCCCCAGTGCTGGTGCACCATTGGCCCAAAGTGAATTCAGCTCAGCAGCCTGTAACTAGACTCCTAAGGGAATCAAAGTTTAGCTCTGACATTCAACAGTGGAGAGAGGAGGCGGTGCAATTGGTGTTTCAAACCCTCAGAGGGGGCCCATACCATCAGGTACAAATACCTGTCCCCATCCTCTCTCAATTCACTGGGTTTTGTAACCCATGCCCCTTGTCAA